TCTCTGGTGAGAAGTCCTGGCCTCTGGAACTGGTGACTCACATGTCTCCGTCCATCATTAGGTAGACCCCTCCACTGACATCTGCTAGCGCTCACTGTTGGCCATAGCCTTTTCAACAAGCACAGGTTTACTGTTGAAAAAGTTGCAAGTTGTCCCACTCTGCCGTCGCCCTTGCCCTGCGGAAGAAAGCGACGACTCTGAGTTCATGCACTGTCAGTGTGTTTGTCTTGGGACACGTGATGCCATCTTATTTAGGAAGGTCCGACGGCTCTCGAGCGCACTACAGAGTAGCCATCTCAAGAAATAATCAGATTCTATCTTCCCCGGCGCGGCTGAGTACTGCCAACCGAGATAACAGGTGGGACAGTTTGAAGCTCATCAAAAGTCCCGATCGTTGACAGATCGGTGCGCCACAAGTTGCAAAGGCAGTTGGTGAAAAATTTGGCAGAGTGGGCATCAGATGGATCTTCGCATTCGTAGAACCTTTTTCTTTTCTTTTCTTTGTTCATCAGAATCTCCAGATTTCTGATCATCATGCAGCTCTTCCCAGTCCAGCGCGTGTTCTACCGTCATCGGACCGGTGCTCAACAGCGCGTCTCAAAGCTCTTATCGTATATCTTGAAGCAGGTGCAAGGCTCCACGCAGGAATCCAGCTGTTAGATCCAAACTGCACGTGCTTAGATCAGAGTTTTGTAGAATTTACTGAGGCCGTTTGCCATGGTTTTCTCGCTGGCAGAATCTTGGTCAAAACTATTGGGTTCCTCACTTTCCAGCACAATGGCGATCCACATCGGTTGTCCACGCACTTGGAAAATTGGATACTACGTTATTGCACAATGCTGGGTGCCTGTAACTCGCCAACTTTAGTCTTACAAAATACCATCAGAAGATTTTGCAGTCCCCATATTGCACAATTCTCAGATATCTAGTATGAGGAGATATTATCCCGTACACTGCATTTTCCTGGATTATGATTGTCTCTGTCTTGTACTGAGAGTACTGGTTTCACTTTCTTGATTATACAACTGCGATATAAGGCAATCTCTGCAAAGTTAATGGGCCTGACGGAGTTGTATTCTGTCCACCTTAAAATCTGGAAGTATATATTCATTAGCCAAGACACGGACATGCTCTGTCGACTAACATGTATATTCTACCGAGAACACGTATCATCAGTCATTCATCTACTAATTGCCTTTCAAGATCTTGAGGAGCCACGGAGGTTTTGACTGGTCTGGTCTTGACTTCTAGAAGAAGAAATAAGATGCCATCCCTTAATCAATCGACGAGCTTGTAAGCAGAAACCCACTTTCCGTCACAGTTGCTAGACTGAGGGTATTCGTCTTTATTCCCAAGAGAGAAGATGGGCAGCAGAACGTCTTCTGCATTAGCTTGAGAACCTGACGTAGTAGTCATGAAAGCAAGAGTACCCTAAAAACTCGAAAAACAGTCAAAAGAAAAGCCTACTCACGAAACTGCAACGAAAATCCAAACGTTGTATACATGCATCTGCTTAACATATGCACTGCAAAGAAACTGCAGAATTTAATGAACGAAATCCCAAGATTTTAGAGCAGCTGGAGCTCGAACACAGTTTACTATAATTATTGAGATTTTCAAGGTCTGGACAGCAGACTAATTTTGTTCAGCGAAGACTAGCGCTATTCTCATACGAAAATGTGATCAAGGAAGTAGCTGTTATGGATTGTCTTTATGATTACGTACCGGAAACTGGCGATCAGTTCTCTAGCTGATTTTAGGTACACTTTCAGATCAAATGAACATTCAACTGCTGCTTGTACTGTATTCTGAAGACTTAGTCATTGCTTCAGACTACGCACCGTAGGGTGATCATAAACCGTTTTTTAAAAACCATTCAAACAGTTACTCTCTTCATTATTCCACAGTGATCTCATCATGATGACGCGATACTGTTTGGCCCCAAATCGAGGGCCACACACGTACATTTTTGAACTTTCTACATACTGTCCATAGTATGGTGCAGCTCATAAATGTACTGTCGTTCATATCGGCGCTGGCTTCTTCAAAGCTGTCATGATAAATGTTTACTGCAGAGAAGTAGCAGCTTGATTTTCACAACAAACTATATGCCATTATAGTCATCTTCAAACTGTGCTAAAATGATCACAAGATGGGGTGAACAGATTTGTTCGGTATCAGCTGAGAATAACAACGAGCTTTCCTGCCAAAACTTTGTACGCTTGCAGAGGGTCACGAGTATAGCACAGGCTGTGCACATCGACAATCCTCTAGAGTCGACCCGAAAGTCGTGCTACCTCAGGTTGTACTCAGAGTTCGTGTGGTGTACACAATAATGAGGCAGGCTTCAGTTTGGTGAGACTTAAATCAACCGAGTCCGTGAAATTCATGTCGAACATTCTTCCATCACATGAAGAAGCAGATTGAGGTATACTGAGCAGATCTAAGAATACAAACTTCGAGGAGAACGTGACTCCACTGTATCGCGAGGACCCGTTGCTCTTATTACCACGATCCACACCAAGGATTTCTTATACTTGATTCCAATTCTTCCGTACGTCAAGTGGGCAGAACAGTCATGGTGAAGATAAAGTCTTCCTTAAGACCATATCAATTCCACGGTCGTACATTATAGTACAAAAGTTCACAGACCGCGGCCTACTTGTCGAATCACGACCAGTTCTCCCATAAATTTCTGATAAAAACAGATAGATACTCAAGGGCAGATCCTACCGATATATTAATCGGTAGGTTCTGTCTATTCAATCACAATATTATTACAACAGGTTTTGTGAGTTTGGTGGAAACCACGCATCATGTGGGGATAAATTTGATATAGTCAGACCACCACATTGGCTCTTCATTCAACTGAAAGATATTTTTTAGGAAAATGATGCAGGAATAAAAGACAGCTTTCAGTTGATCAATATGCAGTCTCCATGAATAGTAGATGTTGTTAGCCAGCTTAGATCTGCAAGCTTTGTAGTTCAAGCTGTCTTACGTGATCACGTGTATCGAAGTGCCGGAGTCAGATACATATCCATTACGACTTTGTAACTATCAAAATTTCTACATCAGATTCCACTGCTTCTGCATAGGTGGAGCCTGTCGATTACTATTCAGCCTGCTCCTCTCTTCTGCGTTTTACCACTTTGAAATCGTGTAACATCCATTTTACTTCAGTAAAGAGCTCCGTTCGTATTTGTATCATAGAATGAGCAGGCCTAAATTAAAGCGTCACCTTCGAGGAATGAACTTTGGCCGTTCTGCCTCTAACCTGGAACCGACTTCTCTATATAAAATTAAAATGCCGTGAGTATACGTGTTGTATATGCTTAAAAACTCCGGAGACAGAGTGACTGATTGTCATTTGAAGTATGATTTCTGCTCATGATAACCAGAATCTGAATGTGAAAGCAGTCGAATTTGAAAGGAAGGAAGAAAGAACATGATATTGGTCCGCAGAGAACGTGGAAGTTTCGCGTCTGCTAGAGCAAATCAGATGTACAGTTTTCAGAAAGTAAAAACAACGGCTAAGAGTTTTCTGCCAAGTTGATACTGATTTCTCATATAATCTTCAGAAGTCTAATTCTTCCACACCTTCTCAAAACTGCCCGCAAAATTTCGTACCAGCTGCATGACTGAGCTGGACTCAAAGTTCTCTTTCAGGTGCAATTATGCATGAGCACCACACAGGTTCATAACCAGATCGTTGCGCCGCCAACAGACGCCATGTAGTACATGGTAGCTTTCTACTCAAGATGGCGTTTGAAGTAGAGTCGATGAAAGGTCCACTGGTTGAGGAGGGTATATGGAAGAAATGAGAATTCCGATCATCCGGTGAGTTCAGAGAGCTTGATGATTAGTTCGAACACTTCAACAAGATATACAAAACCGTCCTAGTACCTTCCGGTTTTACTCGCTAAGACTGCATTTGAGTAGCTTGTTGTGAAGTTGATTGTAGTTTAGAGTGTAGAGAGGGTATCATGATTATTGTTAGTTGAGATCAGCTTCATCAGTAATACATGTTGACCGGTCATAGTTGGTATACGCGATTTTCGTTGCACGAAATTCAAGTTGGACAGAAATTTACAAACCCGCTGGCTTCGGTAGAAGTCTGGAAACAAGTTGTGGCTGAGAGGTGAAAGCCTACGGCAATATTACGACTCCCTTTCTGAATCAGGATGAGCACAGATTAACCTCACTTACTCCACAAATATGTGTATCTACAATAAATGAATGAGAAGATAACAGCTAGTATCAAATTGGAATCTATCCATTTCATACTGATCATGATCTATGATCATACACATCTAAGAAACTTTGTTTGTCACGGAATCAGATGTGAGTAGACTTTATCAGAATGTAGCCAATGCCTGTTAGGAAGAGTTTGTCATGAGTATACATATTTATGTACATATTGTCATATATACATATTTGATGTAGGCCCTAGCATTCTGACAAAAGGAAGTTACACTACACACATCCTGCTGCTAAAACTGTTGTATAGAATTTGGAAAATGCTCACTCGCCGATATTTCTACTGAAACAACTTACATGATTATGGATGTAAATTACAAAAGTAATTCTTTTTTCACAATATTTCGTTGGGAATTATTATCATATATACTTTACTATTTAGGCCAATGATAGATAGAATTTAAAGCTTTCTACAATTAGGAGCTTGTTGGTAACAAGGTGTCATTGACACAATGAGAAGAGATACTGTAATCAAAATGCGAGCTACAATATATACATGAGTGTGGGGCGTAGCCCACTTCCTCGTTTGCTAATTAGAGTGTCAACTGTTGATAACGTTAGCTTAACCTTTGCCAATCATATTCTCAGCTTTCAGCCAACACATCCCCAATCTTACCCACCAGCTTACCGTGAAACTCTCAACGGCTAGATAGTGGCCATCTCAGCATTGTGGACCTGAGTCACTCAAAGTGACACCTGGACAGCCTCCAAACTGTCAACACCCCTCCTCGCTCGGATACACAGGTATTTGAGTGAAAAAAACTTTCTGGCTATTGCAACACTCGAATAGCAGTGGATAGGCAGCGGTTTGGCTTCGCTTTCTTGGCAGCTTCAACGGGGAATCGACCTCAAAGTCGACACAAAACCTTGGAAGCTGAGTCGAGTGTTGATAATTTAACGACTCCGTTCTTGATTGTTGCTGCTCTCTTGAAGCTGAGTCGAGTGCTGATTCTACAACGATTCTACCGTCAATTGACGATGCTCCTTTGGCCGGTTATGTTTTGTTCACCTTCTGTGAACTTGTTGCTGAGACTCCATAGCTTGAACTTGTCGTGGAGGAGCTTCATAGGGGATTACTTTCGAATGGAAAGTTTAGAGCTAGATACATAGGGATACAATGATTTTGTGCTACATCACTAGACTGTTTGGTTGACTCCAAATCAGCTGTTGCTCTGTGAGCTAGCTCCTTTTAGGGTTTTAGTTTCTTAAAGCATGGAAAGATTTGAGAGAAAGTTTTGATGTACTAGAACTAGATCTATGTCTCTGCCTATCTATGTATCACTCCAAGATTGCTCTCCTAGTTGGATGAGCAATGATTGCCCTGATTACTACGAGCTATAGCTCTTATGCAATACATTTCTTTCATCAACTTTCTCTACCTCTATTTCTACTAAACCTGATTGCTTTCGAATTTTCTCAAAGCTGGTTCTTCCTAGAGGCTTTGTTAAGATGTCGGCAAGCTGATCAGTGGTACTCACATATTCCAAATTGATTTCATTGGACTGTACCTTCTCATGAATGAAGTGGTGGCGTACCTCGATGTGTTTGGTGCGCCCGTGATATACTGGATTGTGGGAGAGATTCAAACTCCCCTGATTGTCACCATGGATTGTTGTTGCTTGTAGCAAATCCTGTACTTGAATTTCTCCTAGTAGCCTTCTCAACCATGTAGCTTCCTTAGCGCCTTCAGACAGCGCCATGTATTCGGATTCTGTCGAAAAAAGTGCAACAGTAGGTTGCTTGCGGCTATTCCAAGTTATGGGTGTGCTTCCTTACAGGAAGATGAACCCGGTGGTGGACTTCCTGTCGTAAGAATCAGCCGCCCAGTCGGCATCAGTGAAACCGGTAAGCTTGCTAGTTTCTCCACTCCGGTACAGCAAGGCTAATCCAGCAGTGCCCTTCAAGTACCGGAACAAATGCTTAACAGCCTGGAGGTGTGGCTCCTGTGGCTTTGACATAAATCGACTAACAACACTTACAGCATAGCATATGTCTAAACGAGTGTGAGACAAAAATATGAGTTTCCCCACCATGCGTTGGTAGCGAGTGATGTCAGTGGCGGGGGCTTGCATATCTGGAGCCAACTTGAGCTTCTCAACCATGGGAGTTGAGACAGATTTGCAGTCTTGAGTCCAAACTCATGAAGAATCTCCTTAATGTATTGCCTCTGTGTGACTAGAATGCCCTCCGGTTTAAATAGAAATTCAAGTCCTAGACTGTAAGATAGCAATTCCAAGTCTGACATCTCAAATTCTTCTTGAATTTCTGCCCGTATGGAGGAAATGCGCTCAGTGTTGTTGCCAGTAAGATACACGTCGTCGACGTAAAGTATAAGCAATGTGATCTTGCCGTGCTCCTCATGGAAATACAGATTATTGTCTACCTTGGACTTGTGCAGGCCTTGTGATAGCAGGTAGCTGTCCACTTTATTATACTAGGCACGCGGAGCTTGTTTGAGTCCATACAGTGCTTTTCTCAGCTTGCATGCATGAGTCGGTGGTGAGTTGGAGAAACCTGGTGGAGGAGACACATATATGTACTCAGTGATGACGCCGTTGAGGAAAGCTGTTTTTACATCAAGATGGTAGATTGACCAGCCTTGATGTCCTGCTAATGCCACCACGCTGCGGAGGGTATTCCATTTGACGACAGGAGCAAAAGTCTCGTTGTAATCCTGACTAGCTTGTTGTTGGAAACCTCGTGTAACAAGGCGAGCTTTGAGCTTTGCTGTGGTGCCATCTGCATTTGTCTTCACTCTGAAGACCCACTTTGTGCAAATAACTTTTTGATCAGGAGGTAGTGGAACCAAGCTCCAGGTATCATTTTCGTAAATGGGTTCTAACTCTGCTTCCATTGCTGTTTTCCATCCGGGATAGAGTAAAGCTGCTTCTACAGAGGCAGGAAGGCAGGTGAGCTCTGGAGACTCCAATATATTAAGATGAAAATCACTTAACCGAGCAGGTGGACGAGAAGCGCGTCCGCTACGAGTTGTGATGACGAATGGATCTGATGAAGGAACATCAATGCTGCTGCTACTTGGTGGAGGCTCGCGACGTCGATAAACGTAGAGCGGGAGCTGGGCCTTAGACGAGATGTCTGGTTGAAGCGGAATATCTACCATGATATCTCTGATAGGAGAGTTTGAAGGAGCATCATCAAAAATTGTAGCTTTGAGCGGACTCCTTGGTGGTGAGAGTTAGGAGCCGAGCAGTCGGCAGGTGAGCTAGTGGAAGCAACAATGCTGGTTCCTTGAAGAGAGAGCATCAAAGAAGGGTCTGAGTGGTCCGAAGTAGGAACACCGGTGCTTGAACGTTCAATAGAAGACTCCGGGGCTGCTGGAAAATTTGATATTTGACTCGTGTTGTTGCTGGAGTATGACTCAAGTGGCAAAAGAGACTGCCAGTTGATATTAGCAGATGGTTGCGAGGGTGAGGCAGCACTAGCTTGTACGCATGGAAAGGTAAGTTCATCAAACCTAACATCTTTTGAAACAAAGATTTTGCGTGATGGTCGATGATAGTTTCTGAAACCTCTAGATACATCATCATATCCAAGGAAAATACATTCAGTAGATCGGGGTGCTCATTTTTTGCGCTTTGGAGAGTTGTTTAGTACGAAGCTCCTGCATCCAAACACACGAAGATGGTCGACAACTGGTACCTTGCCTGTCAGGCGCTCGAAGGGAGTGACTCCATTGTTGGCCTTGGTGGAAGTTCTATTTGTCACGTAATTGGCAGTAGCCACGGCTTCAGTCCAAAGGTGATTAGGAATTCCACTTGCAAACGCCATACACCTAGCCTTGTCGAGCAAGGTTCGGTTTTTTTGCTCCGCCACGCCGTTTTGATGCGGTGTGTAGGTCTGAGTGAGCTGTCTGATGATGCCAGATTCATCGCAAAATCTTATGAAATCTTGTGAAATGTACTCTTCTCCATTGTCCGATCGTATAGCCTTGATGCGGTGAGAGGTTTGCAACTCAATCATAGACTTGAATTGCTTGAACTTTACTAATGTTTCAGACTTCTTTTTGAGGAAATAAAGCCATGAAAATCTACTAAAGTCGTCTGTAATTGTAAGTATATACCTAGAGCCTGATAAAGATTTTGAACTGAGTGGTCCGCATATATCAGTATGAAGGAGCTCCAGAGGTTGTTGAGCACGTGTGGCAACTTTGCGAACTAATCCAGCAGGTCGTGGAGGCAGTATTCTAGGCTTGGGAGAGCGTGATTGCTTCCCTCTGCAACATGATGAGCAAAACAAAACTGACTTTGAAAGAGACGGTAAGCCATGGACCTTTCCTTCTTCCTTCATAAAAGAAAGTACCTTGTGGCTGGCGTGGGCAAACCTGTAGTGCCACAGTAGTGTAACAGGTTCCTTTGAGTTTAACTCAATGCTGTTGACTGATTGATTTGGAGGTCAAAATTTATAAAGGCCGTTCTTCTGGTCGCGTTTCCCTTTGGTGATGACTTGGTGTGCTGCTGGCAATGGAAAGTCTCGAAGTATCCAACAATGCGTTGAATCAAATAGAATCTTGGGGCGATCCTCTCCGTCCGCAATCGACCCAACTGACAACAAGTTCTTCCTTATACCAGGTACATACAGAACATTGTCAATTCGTATTCCTCCAGAGGGTGTGGGAACTTTCACAGATCCCTTTCCTGCAACATTCAGTGTGTGACCTCCTGTAGTGCTGATCTTAGATCGGCAGTTTGAATCCAAGTCACTTAGTAGACTTTTTTGTCCAGTAACATGTTTAGATGCTCCACTATCAATAAACCACTCATTGCTGCTGCTCTCTGCTAGGTTTACTTCTAACATGTTGACTGCTAGATCAGTCTCACTTTCCACAAATTCTTCTTCCTCGCTAGTACCGTCAAAATTATCAACAACGTTGATGGAGGTCAACTTCTCCAGTCGTTTAGCCTTGCGTGCCTTCAGGTCAGCCGCCAAAGTAGGTCAGTTTCTCATCCAGTGTTCCTTAGAACCATAGTAGTGGCATTCGCTTGCCGTATTCTTCTTGTGCTTGTGTCGAGCATCGCTGGTTGCTAAGCTTGACCTGCGTCCTCCAAAGCTTTTCTTGCTGTTCGTCAACAGCGCTTCTTGATCGCTACGCTTGCCACCCTTGATCTCTCTTCGTATGTCATCTTGTAACAGGATGACGGTGAACTCAGCAACTGTGGGCAGCGTGGATTTGTACATGACAGAACTCATCAGTCCTTCATAACTTTATGGCAAGGCCATCAAGATTTGTTCAACGATCTCGAAATCATTGATGATCTCTCCGATAGATGCAAACTCATTAACGAGTTCTTTGACTTGCTTCAGGAATTCGGGAATGGCAGCTCCTTCGTCCATCCTTAGGTTGGAAAGTTTTTGCCAAAGTAGAAGCTTTCTGGAGTTGGATCCGGTGGCGTATAAGTCCTTCAAAACTTTCCAACATTCGTCAGGCTTTGTAATGTTAGCAATGTACGGAATTACATTATCCTTTACAGACAATGCTATCAATGTTAGAGCTCTATTCTTTAATACTTGCAAAACATCTATATCAACTTGAGCAATAGGTGCCATTGTCCCAGCGGAAGGGTCAACTACTCTCCAGATGTCATCTCTATTGAGTATGTTACGTAGCTTAAAACTCCAAACTGCGTAGTTTGGAATTCCCTCTAACTTGCTAGCTTCTCCGATGAGTGCGTCTCTAGATGCCATTGGTAACAAGTGCTACTCGTGATCTGCTGCAGTTGTCAAGTGAGTGACTCGGTTCCTGCTAGGGTGTCAAACAATGTGAGACCTCGCTGGGCACGGACTAACAATCACTCAGGTAACCTCGCTCTGATACCATGTTGTAACGAGGTGTCATTGACACAATGAGAACAGATACTGTAATCAAAATGCGAGCTACAATATATACATGAGTGTGGGGCGTAGCCCACTTCCTCGTTTGCTAATTAGAGTGTCAACTGTTGATAACGTGAGCTTAACCTTTGCCAATCAGATTCTCAGCTTTCAGCCAACACATCCCCAATCTTACCCACCAGCTTACCGTGAAACTCTCAGCGGCTAGATAGTGGCCATCTCAGCATTGTGGACCTGAGTCACTCAAAGTGACACCTGGACAGCCTCCAAACTGCCAACAGAGCTTACTTGTTCATATCTTTCATAAAGGTTACATAATATGTTTGGTATATTATATAAAGCAATTCGGGAACTTACATTAGATGTATAAATTTGCTGCCGACTTAGACCCAGTGATATATATTCTATCCTCAACGTGTGCATACAATCTGTACCACAATGGAAACCGAATGAAAGCAGAGCTCTTCACCGAAACGGATTAGGAATCCCCGGGATGGTGGCAAGGGAACAAGACTCACACGTAATTACAATTTGAAAGAAATACTGCGTCAGAATATCATTACTTTCTTCTTACATACAAAACATAGCAGGTACATCAAAACTATCAAATTATATAACTTAGTTATATATGATATGTTAATAAAGAAACTATGTGAACTACAAACAAAATTTTACAAGGTACCCGCATCACGAAATGAAGGAAGAGTTTTGTTGTAGATATCGCAATGATGCATATATGTGCTTAATACTCTATAATATCCGTCATGTTGCGAAAAGACTTCTAAATGAGAAAGCATTCATCCTCATGATTTGTCATTTGAAGTGTTGAGGAAAAGTGAAAAAGTGTTGAGTCACCTCCATCTCCATCTTTCAAAGATTTGCGAAAGCATTGCGCACTGAAACGTTGAAAAGTAGGAGGTTAGCGCCTTGCGAGACATATTGGCATTTTTGGGCACCCTCTTCCATATCTTTTTCATTCGAGTAAGATTAGCAAAGTCTGTCATCGTTACTTCAAGGATGATGCTCGTCCACGAACATTTACCTTGCAAATTAATTTGTCCATAGGTTAAGTTTTGCAACGTGTAGTGAAAGTTTATGTCATGATCTGGATACTTTTTCACGGGTGTTGACGGAGAAAAAGGATCTTAATAAAGTCCAAACGTGAAAATTGTTATGAGAGATGATTGCTGTATAAACCGGTATTACTGAGCTGCTCTACGGATTGAGTAATAATCGCTATACATACTTAAAAATACTTACTCATTAATATATTAAAAGATATTCTCCCACATTACTTTCCTTTATTTAAAGTAATCGGTAATCTGTAGATGTGTCTCATAATTAGAATTTCTTTCATCATTTTCAGCTGTTGTTGAGAATTTTTATTCTTTGTTTCAATTTGAGCCTTATGCTTTAGGTTGTTACATTAGGGATGTTATTAGTTATCGTTCTAGTGTTTTGGGCACTAACTAGTGGTTCTTTTGGCTCTCTCCTAGGTTGGCGTTGGATTGTTTGTATTGTGTTTTTTAACATTTTGACACTTTGGGTCTCACATGCTTGTTCTATTCACCATTCCATTCAAGATAATATTCAATTTGTATCTGGATAGATATATAAGTAGCTTGATGTGTACAAATGAAATAATGTTTTAATAATGATGTTTCTCGCTATGAAACCACACACAGTGGACATGATAATTCAGGCAAGATCAGGAATACTTTCACGGCTCAAATTTGATAGTTTTATAGAAGTTTACAGAATTGCTCAAGGTTCAATGAATCGAAATGAAGGTTTATGCATGTATTTCATCCAACGCTGTCAAGGCTTTCAAGGCGCTGGCATATCGATACGTACCTACGTGCCGAACCCAACGTGGTCCTCCATAGCAGATAAAGTTGGCAGATGAATTTCCAAAGTCTTCACAGGCCGTATTCTGGCCTATGGAATTTCTGACTCCAGAAAAGGTCCAAATACCTCGGCCTCGAATAGCATTTGCAACCTCCTTCACAAGTTCGAAATAAATTGGAGCAAATTATCTGTGTGAATACGGACGATTTTTTCACTTGACTCACTAAACTCTCAAAGTCTGACGCTATACAAACTGGAGGTGAAACTCTTGCTATACTTAGTCTCCCGATTCAGTCTACTCCTCCCACGTCTCCATTGGTTCTTCACGTTGGTGCTATGTACTTACTTGTAGTGGAAAGCTTGTGCTCAGTCCAATTCACATGAGACTCAAAACGTGATGCTTTTCACACGTTGGATCTCGACGGCATGTAACTCACGAATGCAATACTGCCCATCCGGCGCTTGACTGAGTCAGTATTCCAACATGTTGAAGTCAGGGCCAATTTTCAGAGCTGCGACATGAGAGCGGTGAGATTGAGATTGCTCACTAGAACTGTGAGAAGAGCTCTGATAACGGTGGTGAAGACTAAGTCAAGAACTGTTATGTGGCCGTTGAGTAATCTTGTGATAGTCAGACCACTCGGCCCGAGTTGGTGCCAGAATTCGCAAAATTTATTTAAATTTATTCCAAAAATTACAATAAGACATTTATTCCCAAAATCTTGGCGCAGCCAAAGGTTGTACATTCTAGAAGCACCCCATCTTGCAAAATTACTCTTCCCTCATGAGTGAACTCAGGGTTGCGCTTGCCACGAAGGTGGCGGGAGGCCTCGCGGGTTACTGCGATGCAAAGGCATTTACTTACAGGGCTACAGACTATATTTCTGAGATCCACTGTAGTCTGCAACGTGGTATTGACTACGGTTTGACTTATTACACACAAAACATGTCAGGAAACGAAATCCTTGGCATGCTGTAACCATCCTTGCAACTAGATTACTAACGAAGATATTAACTACTGATGAGGGATTGGGGGACCACTTGGCCCTGAGTCAGTCTCTCGCGCTTCTTCTCCTCGAAATAGTTTACTTGTTTCTCTCGTTCCGTAACTCTTCTCTTGTGCACCGGACGGCGCGATAACATCTGTAACCCGAATACTGTACTTCACTCTCGCCTCGGCCTCGTAGACCAACGAAGCCACCGCATCTGCTCGGCTCGATTCTGGCAAGGCGTGCAATAGCTTGGTGACATTGCTGGCCCCGTACATTTTATGCACATACAAAAACCTCAAAGGCTGATCTGCAGGAAAGTACGGTGCGAATATGCACTTGGCCATGCATTTGCAGGGGCGTGGAGTTGGGTAGCGCGCTCCAGCCTGCAAAATTTCACGCATTTTGGAGTTGGGACGCCGAAGTTCACGGATTTCTCAAGTTTCGAGTTGGAGTTTTCGAGTGTTGGGGTCGAGATCGTTTCTTACAGAGATCGTTTCTTCGCGTCTGAGTGTCCACGGAAGCTGAAAATTTGCAGGGGCGTGAAATTGGGTAGCACGCTCCAGCCTGCAAAATTTCACGCATTTTGAAGTTGGGACGCCGAAGTTCACGGATTTCTCAAGTTTCGAGTTGGAGTTTTTGAGTGTTGGGGTCAAGATCGTTTCTTGCAGAGATGGTTTCTTCGCGTCTGAGTGTCCACGGAAGCTGAAAATTTGCAGGGGCGTGATGTTGGGTAGCGCGCTCTAGCCTGCAAAATTTCACGCATTTTGGAGTTGGGACGCCGAAGTTCACGGATTTCTCAAGTTTCGAGTTGGAGTTTTCGAGTGTTGAGGTCGAGATCGTTTCTTGCAGAGATCGTTTCTTCGCCTCTGAGTGTCCACGGAAGCTGAAAATTTGCAGGGGCGTGAAGTTGGGTAGCACGCTCCAGCCTGCAAAATTTCACGCATTTTGGAGTTGAGACGCGGAAGTTCACGGATTTCTCAAGTTTCGAGTTGGAGTTTTCGAGTGTTGGGTCGAGATCGTTTCTTGCAGAGATTGCTTCTTCGCGTCTGAGTGTCAACGGAAGCTGAAAATTTGCAGGGACGTGATGTTGGGTAGCGCGCTCTAGCCTGCAAAATTTCACGCATTTTGGAGTTGGGACGCCGAAGTTCACGGATTTCTCAAGTTTCGAGTTGGAGTTTTCGAGTATTGGGATTGAGATCGTTTCTTGCAGAGATTGTTTCTTCGCGTTTGAGTGTCCACGGAAGCTGAAAATTTGCAAGGGCGTGGAGTTGGGTAGCGCGCTCCAGCCTGCAAAATTTCACTCATTTTGGAGTTGGGACGCCGAAGTTCACGGATTTCTCAAGTTTCGAGTTGGAGTTTTCGAGTGTTGGGGTCGAGATCGTTTCTTGCAGAGATCGTTTCTTCGCGTCTGAGTGTCCACGGAAGCTGAAAATTTGCAGAGGCGTGTGGTTGGGTAGCGCGCTCCAGCCTGCAAAATTTCACGCATTTTGGAGTTGGGTGCTGAAGTTCACGGATTTCTCAAGTTTCGAGTTGGAATTTTCGAGTGTTGGGGTCGAGATTGTTTCTTGCAGAGATTGTTTCTTCGCGTCTGAGTGTCCACGGAAGCTGAAAATTTGCAGGGGCATGGAGTTAGGTAGCGCGCTCCAGCCTGCAAAATTTCACGCATTTTAGAGTTGGATGCTGAAGTTCACGGATTTCTCAAGTTTCGAGTTGGAGTTTTCGAGTGTTGGGGTCGAGATTGTTTCTTGCAGAGATGGTTTCTTCGCGTCTGAGTGTCCACGGAAGCTGAAAATTTGCAGGGGCGTGATGTTGGGTAGCGTGCTCCAGCCTGCAAAATTTCACGCATTTTGGAGTTGGGACGCTGAAGTTCACGGATTTCTCAAGTTTCGAGTTGGAGTTTTCGAGTGTTGGGGTCGAGATCGTTTCTTGCAGAGATAGTTTCTTCGCGCTTGAGTGTCCACGGAAGCTGAAATTTTGCAGGGGCGTGGAGTTGGGTAGCGCGCTCCAGCCTACGAAATTTCACGCATTTTTTAGTTGAGACGCCGAAGTTCACGAATTTCTTCTGCGAAGAGTGTTAATTGTGGTCACAAAAATGTTCAGACATTTTTATCTTTTTGATGAAGTATGATCTGAGCCTGAAAAGTTTTGGAGACTTGGAGATCAATATTCGGCAGTAGTATAAAACGTTTGAAGGTGAACGGACGCTTGAGTCAGAAGTTACAGCCCATTTGGAGTTTCGACTTTTTGTTTCGAGTGTTCCGGGGGTCACAAAAATGTTCAGACATTTTTATCTTTTTGACGAAGCATGATTTGAGGCTGAAAATTTTTGGGGACTTGGAGATCAATATTCGGCAGTAGCAAAAAAAGTTTGAAGGTGAACGGACGCTTGATTCAGAAGTTACAGCCCATTTTGAGTTTCGACTTTTTATCTCAAGTGTTAAGGTGGTCACAAAAATGTTCAGACGTTTTTTTCTTTTTGACGAAGCATGATCTGAGGTTGAAAATTTTTGAGGACTTGGGGATTGATATTAGGCAGAAGCTCATCAAGTTTGAAGGTGCATGGACGCTTGAGTGAGAAGTTACGATATTTTTTGGTGTTTCGACCTAGAATTTAGAGTGTTTCGGTTGATACGGAAGTTGATACGATATGGCTTCTCAAGACGATATTTTTCAGCTTCTGCAAACAATTTTCGAAGAATTGAAGGAACTTTGACATGAATTCAAGATGCAACAGGCTGCTTTAACTCTCGCACATAATCAAATTCGAGAGTTGAAGGGATCACAGAAGAACTGTGTCTGTGATGTGGGATGTATCTAAATCTGTGGATGACATCCAAGGGAAAGCATGCTCTCAGATGACAAGTGCGGATAGTCGTAGATTGCATGAGGTGGGAAAGCTTAGATTTGAAGATCAAATCCTACGCTGAAGCTACAAAGGCTGCTCAAATATCTTTTTGTCAAGAACAAGAGATTGAAAAGTCCAACCAGCTTGCACGTAAGAAGAATGTGAGAATTTCAAGTTTACCTGAAATAGAGAATGAAGATGTCAAGAGTGTTGTCACCAAGTTTTTGGATGAAACACTTCAGGTTTCCAATGCGGAATTGGCTCAAGCTTTTCGTATTGGAAACAAGGGAGCTCAACCTCGTGGTATTATAGTGAAGTTTGTCAATCAAACTCAACGTGATGTTGCCTTGGCTAATAAGGCTATGTTAAAGGGACGTAGAATACGGTTGGATCCTGATCTGACTCCTCTACAAGTGGAAGTTAGGAGAAAGGAGCTTGCGAAGGTAAAAGAGGCTCAAGAATCGGGTTTTGTTGCTTATTTACACGATGGAAGAGCAATCGTTACCTAGAGGAGGAGGGTGTCGTCAACATAGCAATCCGAAAAGATAAGGGTGTTGGTGTGGAATATCCGAGGACTTTCAACAACAAAGTATGTGAGTGCTGCTCCGATTTGGAAGATGGCTGACGTCATCAACATTGTGGAGACTTGGGAACATGAAAGCAATACTATTGCTAAGTTGGAAGGGTTTACCTTGGTGAGGTCGACATGGAACCAGAGAAGACAACATGCGGGAAGGGGTCAAGGAGGTATTGCTACTTTCATCAGGTCTCATCTTCTACCTCTCATACATCTAAAAGTTCAAGATGTTGGTGGACAGTATCATTTGCTACGTCTCGGGGTGGTTGGAGGATCTTATTGCTATTTGGCAATTTGTTATTTTGCACCATTGTCCATGGGTATCTACTCAACACGCTTTTGCAACCAAAGTGAACCATTCCATCGGCTTATTGAAGATGTTCTTAGATTCCAAAGTAAAGGGGATGTCTTTCTTGCTGGAGATTTCAATGCTCTTATACGTTGTGCTCAATTTACTCAATTTAGTAATCCCTTGGCTTCTTCTATGTTTGAAGAAATTTACGATAGTTTGTGGTCTAGAACCTCTTTTGATCCTTCCACAAACTCTTTGATAGAGCACTTTTTGACATTTGGAGCCACTTGTAACTTGAAGGTTCTCAATGGAACCTCTCGCTTTCCCAACTCTCAGTCCAATACTTGTTTTTCCCCTACCGGTGCTAGCACAATAGATTTTCTCTTGTCTTCCTTGGTTAGTACCTCTCTGATCTCCAATTTTGATGTTCTGGATCCTCAACCTGAATCAGATCATGCACCTCTTTTGTTCACACTTTCAATGTCAAAATCAATCTCTACTTCACCTTGCCAATCTCTTTTAGCTTCTCCCAAGTTTCGCTTAGATCCTTGTAAAAGAGACCTTTATGCAGAACATCTACAAGATCTTTTGACTCACACCATATGGACTCCAGATTCGCATACCACTAGTTTACAGCTCATAGAATTGCTCAAAACTTCTGCATCGAAGTTCTTTTTGAGGCATAGTACTAGGATTGCTAAGGGGCTACCTTGCAATGGATGGTTTGACTCCGAATGCAAGCTAGCAAGGGCAAGGTCTGTTGATAGGTCTTTGGATATTCAAAGTCGGCTTCTTTTGACAAGGATATACAAAGACTTGGTGAAGTCTAAGAAACGAGCTTTCTTAAGACGAAAGCAAGAATCCTTGACAAAGGACCTGATGAAGTATCCCAAGTCCTTTTGGAGACGATTAGCTACACCATCGTCAAAACCTTCTCTTGATTCCGAGTCTTTGGTAGCTTTTGCCGAAAAGCTCTATTTCTTTCCAGAAGCCACATCTATGCCATATTGCGAAGCAACACCTGGATTATTTTTGGAAGGAGAGGTGATGACTATTCTCCGAAAATTAGCAAATGGCAAATGTGAGGATTTAGATGGCTTGTCCATTGAACTTATCAAGTGGGGAGGAGATTGTATTGGACCGGTTCTCACTAAGCTTTTGGAAGATGCTATGGTTCATGGTTTTCCATCAACTTGGTCCATGCGGAAGATTGTTTCTATTCATAAATCAGGAAGGAAGGACGTGGTGACAAACTATCGCACCATCATGGTTGGTAGTGTTTTTGCCAAGTTGTTTGGGAAGTTGGTAGAATCGAAGTTGAGCACATGGACAGAGGATTTTCAGAAGAGAGCAAAGGCTCAAGCCGGTTTTCGTCCTACATACAACACTATTGACCATATTTTGGCCTTACGTGTTTTATGGGAGAAATCCAAGGGCAATGGGAAAGCTTTATTTTGTGCCTTCATCGATTTGAAGAAAGCTTTTGATACTGTTCCTCGAAAGCTTTTATGGGAAAGACTACAAGACATTGGAGTATAGGCTAATCTACTCGGAGCTGTGGCCACTTTATACACTTCAGTTCGAGCTAAGATTGATGCCTCTCAGCCTCAAGAAATCTCGAGCACCATTGGAGTTATTCAAGGTTGTCCTCTCTCTCCTACTCTATTCGGAATATTCATAGATGATA